ATAATATTAGTATAGATTTAATAATCTAAAAATACGTTTCTTAGTAGTGTGGTTTCTGCGAATATCAATTAAAAAGAATACGATTAAATAAAATTGAAAGTTAATACCCTAAGGATTGCTAACTGTAAAAATTAGTATTAGGGCTCTCAAATTAGCTTGTATAATGCTAATATGATGATATTTGTATAATGCTAAATGACCGAAAATTGCAAGAAAAAAATAAATACAACCAGTTAAAATTAAATTAAAAACCCTTTCTTCCCTTTTTCTTTTGACGTTAAAACATGTGAAGAAGAGGTATTTTCCTGCCAAACTTCTTTTCTTCGGTAGTCGCTTATTGCTAGTCATCCGAACCACGGTACAAATTTAATGATCCGGGCACTCTGCCAGCGTGTGGAGAGCCGTGTCCACGGTCCGACCTTCGCAGTGGTGGCACTCAGGCGTTGGCTACTTGTGGATCAGACACAGGTGATCCCCGAAACAACCTTTCCCAGTGATCACCTGCGTCAGTCGGTATGAGAGGGTTCCGTGATGCCTCTCGAGCCAATCCTCCATAACGGGTCTTACCGCTGCGATTATGGCGTGCCCGGCGCTCGGTTACCCAAGTAGTTCCTTCCACTCTCCTACGAGGACCGTTGTTGGGATTTCTCGAGTCTCCGACCGGACCGGACTCCGACCCAACTCCCGCGCCTCCTTGCGCCACTGATATAGACCAGAAAGGGCTCTCGCCTCCAGGTCCCACGGTGGAGTTCCGGCCAGGAGACTCGCCGCCTTAAAGGAGATCGTCCGGTACCCCCTTATGATTCTGATGGCCAACACGTTGCTGGCCTTCAGGGCCCCCGCCCATACTGGGACCCCATAAAGGGCCATGGACCGCACAACCCCCGAGTACACACAACCTTCATGTTGTGCAGCAGCCGCGCCAATGCACGCGCTGCCCAAGCAACTTGGGGACCAGACCTCGGAAATTATGTCCGAAGTCCCATCGGCCATAGAGTACGAGCCCCAAATCGAGGGCTCGATGCCGATGCGAGGAGGCCTTTGCCCTGCAGTAAGACAATACAGATTACAAAAAAAAAGAAGTAACACAAGTAGTAACACAAGTACATGGAAAAATCTGAAAACTCTACACAGTAATTAAATTATAAAAAATATAGTCTTTATTTAAAGTACGTATTCTTTCTTTTTCTTTTTTTGAAAAGACAACTCCCGCACTAGGAATAAATCCTGTGCCGCGGGGGACTTTACAAACATACATGAAACGGACACAAAGTACACCCAGACTCAGAACAACAAGTTATGGATCACACAAAGTGTCGTTCCATGTGGGGTTTGAACCCACAACACTCGACGCAGTAGGATCGGCGGCGCGACCGCTTAAATCAATACGTCATCCGTGCAGTCGGTATTCAATCATCGAGGTTCAATTTCATTTATATAAAAAACACAATAATATAAGTAATTATAGGTTTTGAAATCAGAATTTCGGGCAAAGCTCTGAAAAAACTCGATTCCTAAACCATTTATAATATATACTCGTGTATTACTCGCACTTGTCCGGCTTTTTATTAATGCTGATATTTCTACCCACACAAGATTACCCACAAATTTTGTCACTTTATAACTGTAAACTTGTATTTGTTTTATTTTTAGGTATGACATATTTAGGATTCTCTGTTTTTGCTATGTGATTGTGTTTTGACACACCTCAACTAGACACATAGTTCTGTTCTTTCTTTCACCCTTAGTATGTACGTATTTGGTAAAACTGTAGCATGCACCTACCTCCTGCGTCACCCAAAAGTTGACTGGGAGAGTATAATTTAGCCAATAAGTCCGTCTATGTACCAAATGTACATGAACTGTATGTAAATAAACTCATGAATGAGATAATTAAATAATCCGTGTTGTGACGGATTAAACATATGGAGTGTCACCACTCCTATTCATTCCGTAGGTGTCTTAAGAGCCGACTAAGGGATCAAACTATGCTGGACAACAGCACTGCAAAGAGAAGGAAAACTTGACGCAAATCCTATACCAACCCGTCTGGCCAGATTGGTATAGTTGGCCAAAACCTCCTGTCCAAGAAAAGACCTATGTTCAGCAGTGGGCTATTAAAGGCTGTAAAAGTGAAGTAAAGTAAGTGTGTAAAGGCTGTGTGTGATTCGAAATAAATGAAATTTTCATGATTTTATAGTTTTTAGGACACTGTTTTACGAAGTCAAATACAGACTGTCTTGCGCCAATTACGTTGCGTAGATAAAGTATGCACGGAAACCTTGAGCATACAATCAGTTTCTTAAACAAAAGGAAGTACTCACTTATGAAGATATTAGCTATTTTTAGCAATATTTCTAGAACACTGTTATTTTTCATGTCACTTTGTTACGTAAATATTACTTTTGATTGTAACAGATTTTGAGATAAATAGCTTCAGTCAATGACCATGTTATATTATTACGGTGTAAAGATATTACTTATTTACTTCTGAGCTTTTACCTAGATTCTTCTTTCTTCCGAGCCTTTTTCCTAAACTAGGTTGGGGTCGCGATTTAGTCTACTACGATACGGCTGAACTTCAAATTTTTACTCGAAGCGACTCCCATCAGACCTTCACAACCCAAGTACAAATAGGTGATATCGAAGTCGTAGCGTAAGCGACTGTTGTGCTATTCGGTATTATTTGTTTCGGAGTTCGAGTGTTTTCTATGTATAATATAATATAATATAATATGTTAAAAAAGATTGTTGCTTTTGTGTGTGTTGATCTATGACTTTAGAGTCTACATGGAAGACGATTTCAAACAATTTTGGAAATTTTATGAAATAAAGAAAGTTTGAGTTTGAGTTTGAGTTTGAGTTTATAGTTAGTTAGTAGTATACGTTAAGTATAAAAGCATACTATTTGTCAATCTATCATTCTTCATCTATCATCTTTCATAATACAAGCTCTGCGTAGTTTGAAACTAGATGGCAATGTGTGTTAGATGTCCGAAATATAAAAAGAAAAAAGTGTATATCAACCGGGACTGAAAGCTTAACGTGCTCTCCGAGGCACGGAGGGGGTATTAAAGTGTTAAGAATGGTACCCATCCGTAGACTTTTTTTACCAACTCGGTTACCACTTAGCCACGAGCCCCTCCTGAGCTTTTGCTTTAATGAAAACGAAATAATAAATTAAGTTGATAAGAATGATCCTCTTGCCTTGTTCCTCCGAGCCTTTTTCGTAAACTAGGTTGTAGTGATGCTCTTACCAACATTATATATTTAGAATAGCTACACAGACCCCAACATCCCTGACAGATGCCTAACTTTACTACTACCTTAACTCTTTAAAAAATGTCGCGCATTTGCAAGGCAATGTATTTATGAAGCGCACATAGGCAGACCAACATAAGTGCAGACAGTCAAACTAGTGCCACCACGACCAATCAACTGGAAGTTGAAAGTTTCACCACGTTCAACTTCCAGTTGATCAGTCTTAACTGACTTACTATTCAAATAATTGAAGAATTATTTCGAGCCATTGGGCCCTGAAGGGCTTTTGTACTTCGGAAAGGAGCTTGATTGACGCAACGAGCCAATGTCATCTGAACATAAAATAAACCGCCTGCAACTTAAATGTGTAAACGAAACCCTCTACCAACTAAGATACCAGTGTTCACTAAACCATACAAACAAGGTTTGTATGATCTAAAAATATTATCAACACTTTTTATTCCTACATCTGGAACAAGAGTTACTTTATTTAGGCATCGGTTTGCATTTGTTAGACAAAATAAATGCCAATTATAAAGACTTTTTATGCGGCTTAAATACTTGAAGTTATGCCTGGATAAGAGTGTATAACTAACTGGAAATTATGTGGAAAAATAAAATTAGATGATAGGTAATCTGTTTTATTCTATATCACAGACTCTTTTGTAATATAAATTAAGACAACCCTTTCTAATTGTGAAATAATAACATCTTTTTTTAAGATTTTAACTCAAAAAGAGTTTAACAGATTCCCCTTAACGTTTGTATTAAATAAAAAAATATTTATTTATTAAATGAAAAAATTAGAAGATTATTTCGTCATTTATTGCCGTCTTATAACTCTCACTTTCTTTCTTTTTTCTATCTAATGGTTATATCGCTAAGATGGTTTTTCAATTCAAAATGCCCTATAGATTGCGAATCGAAAAGTTAAAAATTAAATACTAGTCCTTGATTACAGCATATAAATTAGTAGGTTTCTCAGTTACTTAATTTATAGCGTCGTATCGGTTACCCGAGTCTCATGATCATCAACAGACTTTTTTTTAGTTTACTGCCGGACGAAGGTAGGAAAACAACTACAAAGTTTCGTTTCAAACAAACGAAAGAAAAGGTGTTCAGCTTAAAAAAATATATTAAAAAATTGTAAATATACAATGAACCATGAAAATAATTAAGTAGAATACGATACATTTTATTATAAAATAATAAACTCCTATTTTTAAGTTCGAGTGGCAAAATTTACGGATTTTTGAATTTGTTACATTAGCGCCATCTAGTAGTCAACAGATAAAATAACAGCGCCATCTGTTATCAAAATTTACAACTAACTTCGTCTCGTTTTTTTTCAAATATTTCAAACTTCAGGACCTAGGTGGCGTTTTTCTTAATAACTTAATATTTTGACAATTCTTTCCCCACACGCGAAAACGCTACAGTTCGGTAATGGCCGCCGTTGGGGTGGTTGACTCGTGTTTCTGTCAGTGCGATACACGTTGATTGGTTGTTTACTTTATTTACATCAGTATCACAACCAATACTATCACAGTGTTTAGTGTTTCTTGTGTATTACAATTGTTAATTACAAGTTCATAAACGGGAAAGTGATTGTTATAAAGTTTTTAACACTGCGATGAGCGACGAGTCGTGCACCTAGCGTTGTTGGTAGAATGCATCGTCCAGTGTAGTGTTGTGGTTTATTGCAATTTCTTAGCCAAATGCTGGGATACAGAAGCACAATGTGTAGCAGGCAGCATTCCCAGGCGTGCCTGAACACATCCCTGTCGATACGACAGGAGATACAAAGATTTGAGAGTGTGCATCCATCTATTTACGCTTTATACGACCTTGTGGAGTTGGTACCTGATCCACTACTCGCCCAGCAGATTAGAGACCACGTCGTGGCTATTGAAGGTGAGTACTTGCATCGTAGTGGTTCATTGTTTACGTGTTACAACGCGGTTTCTCCGGACGACTAACTTTGTTTATACTAAGATTCATCACGCTGGATAACCTTATATGTAATGCGTGGTTTATGATAAGCTACTGCCCTAATACTTGTGACTATGCTATAATGAATGAATTTATTTATTTAAAACTTAAGTACCTAGCACAGAATTCAGTATCTAGGAATGGTTTTCACTCAAGAGGTTGCATGTTCAGGCCCGCATACTAGATACATACAACAAGAACATACACCTTAAAAGCAAGAGATACAATGGCAGTGGTATACAAGCATTAATGCTGCCTTAATTACAGGTTGCCACGGAAAGTATAATAATAAAAGAGAGTAAAAGAGCGTTAGGAACGTAAAGCTTCCCCTAACTTAAAAAATAACTAAGTACTTCAAAATCTACAATAAAAAACAAAAATCCTTTTGAGTCGCCTCCCTTTAGAATCTGGGTAAAGGTAGGTTTGGACTCCAGTAATCTCACTCCTGTAAAAAATCAAATATGTCCGTATCTAGTTCAGTTTTGTAATAGTTGTTCAATAGAAATACGTAAATGCTCTATAATTCTTTCTTTCTATGATAGTTGTATAGGTACAGATTATTACGTTGTGTTGCTTTAGTAAATAAATGTATGCCTTTAAACTTAAGTACCTAACACAGAATTCAGTACCTTGGTAAGATTTTCACTCAAGATTAGGTCGCTATGTTCAGGCCCGCATACTACTGCGGCAACTAAGCATCCGTCTACACACATGCATGTAAGAGCTACTATAAAAATGACCTAAGCTAGTTTATTGATGTTCACAATTGCTGTAAGCACTGAAAAGGAATTGTCATTATTATCGTAAATACCTTACTTGTATATTTTGATACTTGTATATGTAAATAACGGTTTAAAACACAAACACTTATAAAAAACAATAATATAAGTAAATATAGATTTTGGAAACTGGATTTCGGGCAAGACTCGATTCCTGAACTATTTACAATATGTACGTACAAATTTGTGCGTACATATTATAAATAGAAAAGAAATTTAGGCTATTCAAAAATCTCTTATCAGTTACTAGTCATGAATAAATTGAAACCCCGAACGAAGCTAATCATGATTCCTCGCGACAGGCAATTTTTACCTACTATCGTTTCTTACAATACCAATGCCAAGGTTTCTAGGTTACCAACTTATGTTTTATTAGTCATTGTTGTCAGCAGCCATTGTTGTTTTTATTGTCATGATTGCAGATGGTGATTTTCCGGTTTGTAGAAAATGTTTTATATTAGTAGGTGTAAAAATGAATGATTTACTCAGTACAGACGAAGACATTTAAGCTCAGACTATTCTTCTTCTCTAACATCAGTTAATATAATATCTAGAAATAGTCTGAAAATGTTGGTCATGTTTATGTTAAGGTTTTTATTTAATTTAAAAATATGAAATCAATAAAGCGTGACGTCATGAATTGTTATTTTAAAATGTCTTATGGTTTGTAACAACATACATAATGACTTGACTGAAAATTCATCTATGATATGGAACAAATTGTAGTCAGCTGTATCTCCCGTACCTCCCAACCTTTAAAACGCCCAATCGCACGCACTTGAGACTCCTGAGTTGCGGATGTTCATAGGCGGCAGTGGTCATTTTTCATCAGTCTACTCGTTTAGAAAAAGATATGTATAGGAAATGAAAGATCAGATGGCAAGTCAGTAGAAAATGTATAATCATAGTTTTAATTAATATGTATTACACATCCACTTGCCAGCAACGAGTAAGTTTAAGAGTCAAGAGGACCAGCCTTTTACTGGGCACGTTGCCAAACTTTCTGTTGCTGCTAAAGTCAAAGAAACAATTAATAACAATTTACTTACCTGACCCGGTACTAGACCTCACCGCGCATAAGCAAATGTAACTATGGAGCCATTGAGATACCGAACAGCCAAAATAATAAAAACGGGTCGTAACAACGGTATTCGGTCACCAAAACGTTTTTTTATGGCAAAGATTTCCTTTCTAACACCCGGTTTCCCGGCTGGTAACTGAGACGGCGGTTTTTAGTCGGTTCGAGTCCGACATAACCGCCACGTTGGTCCAGTATCCGAGGGGATATAATCACAGAAAAAAGAGGGGGGCAAATTAGTAAACTGCTCGCTTGATGGAAAGAGAGTTGGCGGCGTAAGGCGTCCCTTAACTTGAGCGGACATTTTCCTACACAATAACTAAAAATCTACCCAGTAATCTCACTCACCAGGTGTAAAGTAACGAAATAACTGCTTCACATCGGTTTTCTATAAGGATGTGGTAACACTCCGGTCGAGCCGGCCCGTTTGACTCTGTATGACTCTTCCACGGAACATCCATATAACCATACAGATAATACTCGTATCATATAATGACATAAAATATAATGGAGGACGCTTGTGTTTCGACTTGACAGAGAATGTATCTTAAAGCAATTGTCATCATCATCAACAGCCTTTAACAGTACACTGCTGGACATAGTCCTCTCCTTAGAAAGGAGGTTTAGTTTTCCTTAGAAAGCAATACTATCAAACTTATATCATGGCCAAATCATAGAATTGTCACTTCAAGTTGTCGTCGACCATTTTATGAAATGTTTATATTTTATTATGGTCGACGACGATATGGTCATATAAAACTGACCACATCATGAAGTGACAAATTATATAATCTAACCACAACCAGAAAGTGCCTACAGTCCGTGTGTGACTGTGTTTGTGGTGTATCCGTGTATGCATGAAAGTATTTTCTGGATGAATGTCAAAATGTCACCTTAGGAAAGTATATACAAGATTTTATGATGATCAATTAATAAGTAGTAAAGGCGTTAAGATGTAACAAACCAAGGGATCTTAAAAAATATTGCCAAGAAATAATGCATAAATTATAGGTTCTGTATGCATCTCACATCCAGAAACAATTATTACATATCTTAACGAACATAAAATCCACAGAGTATTTCATAGAACAAGAAGCACGCTATAGCTACTTAAGAAATTATAATGTAAAATATATTGATTTAATTTTATCTGTGGCCCAAGCAAATTTTAATACTAAAACGAACAAAAAGGTATTTCTAAACTTTAAAGCCTACAGTATATCTAATTTTTCTATTAGCTTTCTAAACAAAATGGATACTCGTATTGATCTAATAATAATAAACACGTCTAAATTATTAATATTTCTGACACTGCTCATAACTCCCAATCGACTTTATATTTGTATTCTGTTGTTCATAATCACCCAAAAGTGTCACCATTTTACTAATAAAATTCGATCTCCAAATCATTAAAGAGGTTGATGAAAGGGAACATGTAGACTGTAGGTCTGTTATGGTCAACAGTACGTGTTCACAACTACTGAACCATAATACGAGTACAGGAACAAATAGATCGATGACAATAATTAGCTTCAACATTAGAAGTATAAACTGCAATTTGGACCACTTTCTGGCATTTGTTACCTCATTAAAGATTCCTATAGATATATTTGTTTTTTCGGAGTGCTGGACAGATATAGAACATCCACCTCCCAACATTCCTGATTACAACAAGCATTGGACACAATCTAGTCTTAACCAAAATGACGGCGTTGTTGTGTACATTCGCAGTGAAATTATGAGCAGTGCTTATGAGCCAGGTGTACAAGAGGGCAATTGCCTCATTATCACAGTAAAACCTGACTATACATTAGTTTGCTCCTATCGCCCACCGTGCTTTTCAGATACTAAACCATATCTTGAATCATTAGATACGGTTTTAAGTAACATCCGTACTAAAAATATTATTTTTACTGGAGATATCAACATCGACATTACACCGGAAAGCCTAAGTCAGTCTTCGAACAATTATTTAAATCTGATGGCAGCACATGGCCTTATGCAAGGTATCACAAAACCAACTAGAATGGGTAGAACATGTTTATATCACTACATGATTAAATGTTCCAGTAACTGGAAAACGTTGGTATTTGACCACTTAATTACAGATCACTCGCCCATACTGCTCCACATTGAAAATTCTACAGTAGTTAAACATAAGGTTGAACACAAAAAAATACAAATCGACTACAAAACTATTAGTGAATTACTGACCAATGATACTTGGGTTGACTTGTATAACACTTATGACACTAATATTGCTTCGGAAATATTATTGACCAAACTGTGTAATATTGTATCAAAAAACACCACGACGACAATAACTTCTAATAAACATAGACCTTTAAAGCCATGGATAACTGTGGGGGTTGTTAAATGTATTAGAAGGAGGGATAAACTACATAAAATTGCCGTACGATCTAAAAATGATACGCAACAAATGCATAAATACCATAAATATAGAAACACTTGTAATTATATAATAAAATGTTTAAGGCATAAATATTATCAAGAAAGATTGCAATCTTCTAAAGGCAATGCAAGAGAGACATGGAAAACAATAAAGGAAGTGTGTGATATGAAAAGTAAAAATGAAAGAGCTGATGAGTTACTTCATATCGACGATCCACCAGCAAAAGCTCTCAGTATAGTAAACAACTATTTTACCGGAATTGGATGTTCACTCGCTAAAAAACTTCAGGACCTGATTCATAAGTCGGAATATGACCTAGCTCGAGAAGCCAGGAACGGTATAGCTCCGCTAAATTCCATGTCCCTAAGACCTACAGATCCATCTGAAGTTAAAAGCATTGTTTTAGGACTCAAATCGCACAGTGCTCCCGGGTGGGACAGCATAACAACTGACATTGTAAAACGAAACATCACATCTCTCGCCCCACCTATTGCTTATCTGTGCAACTTGAGCATGGAAACGGGCATCAATCTTTAAAAGCAATCTTTAAAAAGGCGGTTGTTTGTCCTATTTTTAAATCTGGGGACAAGCAAGAACCTTCGAATTACCGGCCCATCTCCCTTTTATCAACATTATCAAAGATACTGGAAAAAATTATTAACAAAAGGCTGATAGCGTACTTAGAAACTAACAAAATTCTTAGTGATCGCCAGTTCG